AGCACGGAAGAGCTTTCCCACCTTTGTTCTTAGTTACAAGCTACTGGCTCCACCGGCTTTCTTAGTTGGTGAGTGATTTCTTTTACTTGAGCGAAATCTGCAGCTCCTTGGAAAGAGAAAACAAATTATTAGGGCTTTGGGGGGTTTTCATGTAGCAAAGGAGCCTGAGTTAGTGTAAGCAGAAAATCACAGGAAGAACTGAGTTTGATACAAATGCATCACATGGAATCCAAAGGCTGGAATATGGTGGGGGCTCAGGGGGGCTGGGACAGGCAGCCTGGTTACTCCTCTGTCTTTTGTCTCTGTTTTTCTGCACATCAGCTTTGTCCTTTCTTCACGAGTGTTTCTGCTACTCGGAGACTCCTCATTCTCCCTGGTTTAGGTCCCTGTGTCAAATTCTGGAGGGAGAGGACATGATTGGCTTAGTTTGGGTCTGGTGTCAGCCACGGACCAAAAAGCTGTGGTCAGAGGGACCCTCAAAATGAACCTGGCTGCCAGGACCCCACCTCAGAGCATGGAGAGAGTGGGCATCCCTTTGGGAGAGGGGCTGAGCAGTTAGCGCAGTGGGTGTCCATTTTGATTCCAGCCAGATGTGGAAGTGATGATGGTTTACCTGTTGCAGAAGGGCTGTGTGGTCCATGTGCCCTGACTGAGATTAAAAAGTGGTGCCCTTCGTGCTGGTGAGCGGGATGCAAGCTGGGTTTCAACACCCTGAGGGCACAGCCTGCCTCGACTGTGTGGCTTCACCAGTGAGTGATGCAGAATAAGGACCAGACTCCAGGATCAGGAGACTTTTCTGTAGCCAGCACCATTTGGTGCCACCAGCCCCCCTTTCCTGACTGTGCAGAGCACCGGGACTTGAACTCCCGTTGGTGCAGGCACAATCTCATGCTTTTTCCACCTGCTCTATCAGTGGGAGGCAGGTGCAGCCCTCCGAGGCCTCTGGCCACGGTCTTTTGCATCCCAACCAGGTCTCCCCCTCTGCCTGTCGCTTCCCAGGAGACCCACTCTTCTGCCATGTCTCTCCCCAGGGCGTGAACCTGTCTGGGGGCCAGAAGCAACGCGTGAGTCTGGCCCGGGCAGTGTACTGTGACTCCGACATCTACCTCTTCGACGATCCCCTCTCTGCTGTGGACGCCCACGTGGGAAAGCACATCTTTGAGAACGTGATTGGCCCCAAAGGGATGCTCAAGAACAAGGTACCTGCTGCAGGGACGGCTTGGGGTCTGGCCCTCATTCTTTGATCAAGTCACAATGTGTATCCCCTTTGAGAATCCTTTACTTAATTGGATTTGAGAACATATTTCTAATCCTTCCCTTGGCAGCCTTCACAGGACAGTCTTCTTGCTCCTGTCTTTATAGGTGGACGTCCTGGGCACTGGAAGTCAGTGCCTCCACTTGGCCTAAGGAAGCCTCTCTTCCTGTTTAAATAATGGGGATGGCTTTGCAGAGGGAGGTCCCACCCCAAGATCCACTGTGAGCGAGGAGGCTGTGGGCTGATGGACAGAGGTTTGAGCAGGAAAACTGCCACCGTATCTTTACATGACAGGAACTGGTTCCTTTCCTCTTCTATTATTTTTTTGTTTGTGTAGGGGAATTCTAGGGCAGGAAGGTGTGCTGGCTTTTCCTCACCTGCCCCCATTAAAAATGTAGCAGATTCGGAACACCGAGAGGAAAACAGAAGCAGTTATGCGTAATCCCACCACTTAAGGGTTTTTTGGTATTTCTTTCCAGTCTTTTTTGCTGTATGAGCTTTTTAATAGGGTTATCACATCATGAATATATATATATTAAGCATCATGCCCCTTAATCTGTTGTAAGCATCCCCATGCACACCACAAAAATTCTGTATAAATGTAATCTTTAATTAAAAGATGTTTTTATCAAAGTAATATATGCCCATAGTAACAAAATCAGAGACTATAAGAATATATGTAAAGTTAAAAGAGAAAAAGATTCTCCCTTATCCTGCGGCCCTAGCTCCTCCCTCAAAAGCAGGGACCAGCAGATCTGGCCTGCTTCCCGTTTTTTTGTGCAGCCCACCAGCTAAGAATGGTCTTTACATTTTTAAGTGGTTGAAAAAAAGCTGAAGAAAAATAATATTTTGTGACATGAAAATTGCATTCAATTTAAATATCAGCGTTCATAAATAAAGCTTTATTGGAATACAGCCAGCCCATCTGTTTATGTCTTGTGTACGGCTGCCTTCAGAGCTGGCAACAACCAGAGGGCCCGTAAAGCTGAAAATATGTACCATTTGGCCATTTAAGAAAAAGTTTGCCAACTCGTGTAAACAGTTTGATGAACATCCTCCCAAACTTTCAGACAGTTAGAGAAAATATATACACATGCACAAATTTTGTAGTCTTTTTGGGGTGGAGGGGGAAGTTGAAAAAATGAAGCCATTGCTGTGCACATTTTTTACAGCAGTGTCATTCTTGTATTCATCTACACTTGGCCAGATTTGGAACAGATTTTTGTTCAAAAATAACTTCCTGCACAACCCTTGTTAAAACTGCACCACCCTCCCTTGGTATCCTGTCTCCTTTGTTGCTATGTGCTCGCCGTCCAGCACTCAGTGTTTCACATGCATTGGTCATGTCTGCCCTGACCCTGGAATCTGGGGCAGGGGTCTTTGTTTCCCTCCTTCCTGCCCCGACCCCTGCCCCAGCTCCGCACGGTGAGTGAAAGCATGCACAGGATGGGGATGCTTCTGCGCGCTTGCATCCCAGGCGGCGTCCAGCCTTGGACTTGAGATCTGAAGTCCAGGTGTGGAGGGAGTCCCTCTCGCGCGCGGGCGCTGACGCAGCCCGGTCTTTGCCCGCAGACACGGATCCTGGTCACGCACGGTATCAGCTACCTGCCCCAAGTGGATGTCATCATCGTCATGAGCGGCGGCAAGATCTCTGAGATGGGCTCCTACCAGGAGCTGCTGGCCCGGGACGGGGCCTTCGCCGAGTTCCTGCGCACGTACGCCAGCGCCGAGCAGGAGCAGGAGCAGCCCGACGACGGTAGGGGTACGGCCGCACGGGGCTCCGGGCGCGGGTGGTGCCCTGTCCGGCCCCAGTTGTCTCCTGGAGGGTCCCACCAGCCGCCCTGGGACTCATGGGACATCAGGCCCCTTCAGGAACCATCTGGAAGGGCTGTCTGAACCCTTTCAGGGCTGCATTGAGAGGGGGTCCCAGTGCTTTATGCCTGGGTCAGCAGAACTGGATGCACGTCCCAATGCTTTTCTGCGATGTGGCCCTGGGCCTGTTGAGTTTCAGGGTCTCTGTGGCAAAAAAAGGAGATAGTGATAATTACAGCTCTCCTGGCTGCCCAGAGGCTGTGAGAAGCCAATGGCTATGTGCCGTAATCCAGAAAAGATCTGAGGGTCATGAGGTGAATTGTGGCTGAGTGTGCAGGCTGGATGTTGTCAGGACCTGGGGCCGAATCCCAGCTGCTGCTCTTACCAGGCCCGTCGCTGATAAACCCGGGTGACGCAGGACCGACCTCCTGGCACTTAGTGTAGATTTAGTGTGCTCGACTACGTGGAGCCTTTGACGTGGTTCGAATGCAGCTGCTGTTAATACTTCCCTGGGAAGAGTGCCCCCCTCACATCCCTATGCGCCCGGCATCTGCCTGGTCCAGGTGGACCTGCCCACCTCCAGCCGCCACGCCCACTCTGTCCTCCCAGGCCAGGACTCGGAGAGCAGGAATGGTCCCAGAGGCACACTTTGAACTCTGGGCTGGGACCTCACCCTGTCTTTATTTGAAGCAAGTGGGGTAAGACTTCTAAAAATCCTGTTGTCTCATTAGTTGGTTTAAAATTCAGGGGATTGCTTTGCAACCTTGCCAGGCTGCCCTGTGTTTATGTCAGATTAGCATCTGGAACAGATCCTCTGCTGATCCTTGTTCTCGGAGCTGTGACCTGTGTTAACATGGAGCAGGGAGAGGTCATCTGATGCCTCTTCTGCTTTGGTTTCAGCTGTTGCTAAAAAGAGTGGAACTAGAGAGAGATCACCTGTCCTACCCCGATGTCCCTCTTCCAGGAGCTAATTACAGACTCAGAGCCTTTGGGGCATGTTTGTTACACGCTTAGTCCGCAGACAGGTCTCAGGTAGGCGGTCCCCCAGGGAGGGGCTACAGGGCTTCCTTGCTGCACAGCTTCCAGGGGCAGAGTCGTCATCGAGGTGTCTGTGATGTGAAGACACACACAGCAGCAGTGACTGGTTGTTGAGTACTCCCGGGGCTTCTGCCCTCTACAGGCATTATCCTGTTGCATCCTCTTAACACCTTCTCATGAGGGAGGCAGGACTGCTGTGAGGAAACTGAGGCGTAAAGAGGCTTGTCCTTTCTATGCAGGGGTGGGCGGGTCCTTGTGTTTGTGACTGGGGCCCATCACTAAGAAGGATTCATTGATTTAGTCATTCTAGGTGTTTACTGAGCACCTGCTATGTGTTGAGCCTTGTATTATTTTTCTAGGGTTGCTGTAACAAAGTAACGAAAACTGAGTGGCTTAAACAACAGAAATGTGTTGTTTTCCCTGTTCTGGAGGCTGGGAGACTGAGGTCAAGGTGTCAGTAGGGTTGGTCCCTTCTGAGGGCCATGAGAGTTCATGCCTGTCCCCTAGCTTCTAGTGGTGTGCTGGCCATCTCTGGCGTTCTTTGACTTGCAGAAGCATCGGCCCAGGCCTCTGGGCTTATCTTCACACAGTGGTCTCCTTGGGGGTGTGTCTGCCTCCAAAACTCCCTTTTTATGTAGGGCTGGGGCCCATCTTTGTGACTTCATCTGAATTAATTATACCTGCAGAGACCACATGTCCAAATATAGTCACACTCTGAGGTCCTGGAGGTTAGGACTTCAGCATATGGATTTCATTGGCTGGGAGGGTATATGATTCAGCCTGTAACATTACTGTCCTGAGTTTTGGGGAGACAGAAGCGAACAAGGTACAGGCAAAGCCTGCCCTCGCACCTCGTGGAGCTCAGAATCCAGTGTGAGAGAAAGGCAATAAACAATCAGCAGATAAAGACGGTTTCATCCAACGTGAAGTGCCTCGAAGGGAAACATGTAGGGTGGCAGGGCTGAGGAGTGCTGGGGGTTTGGGCAACTCAGGCGGGGGGGTCAGGGAAGCCCCCTCTGGGGACGTGGCATTGGCTTGGGGAGGAGCCAGCAAGGAGAAGATAGGGGAACAGTGTTCCGACACAGGGAACAGCAACTGCACAGGCCTCAGCCCAGCATGAGATCAGTCTGTCTGAGGAACAGAAAGGAGGCTAGTGTGGTCAGACCATGGTGGGTAAGCGACGGGGGTGGGAGATGAGGTTGGCTAGAGGAAACTTCAGGGCCTTTGGGGTGAGGAGTTTGGATTTTGTTCTCAGTGCAGTGGGAAGCCACTGAATGCCAGAGAGGGAAAGGTTCCCTGTCTAGGACACACAGCGAGAACTCGCACTTTCTTTCCTCTGGATTAGGGTTTGCTGAAGTCCTAGTGGTTTTTAATAAGTGGCTTTTTGAGATATAATTCACACAGCACACAGTTCACCCAGTTCAGAATTTTAAAAAATATTCTAGTATTTTTGTTGTGCAACCATCACCATGATCCGTTTCAGAAAATTTTTGTCCTCTCTCAAGGAAACCTCATCTCCATTGGCAGTCAGTCCCCATTTCCTCCCAGCCCCCCAAGACTTAGGCAAACACTAATCTACTATTTTTTCTTTGTTTTGAGATATAATTGATACA